TACATGTGGATATTTGCAAATGCAGAACTGACTGGTGGAAAGGGTGGGAATGAACTGCTAGAAATCTGGTCCTCGTTGGACCAGGTATGTTTGATGGAAATGAGACAAATTTTGGGAGAAGTTTTGGAAATATTTTCTTCTATTTTACACTCTACTCTCCGATTCCATGGGTTTGACTACTCTAGGGACCTCATGGAAGTGGATTCCAGAGTGAATCTGAGAAGAGACTGCTGGTTGCCAGGAGCTGGGAGTGGGGAGAATCAGAAGTTGTTCATGGGTGTGCAGTTTCAGTTATGCAAGATATTATATACAGCTTGATGCCTACAGTTCACACAGATTGAGTATTTCTTATGCATAAGACTTAGGACAAAAAGTGTTTTGGATTTCTGACATTTTTTGATTCTGAAATATTTGTCACATACTTACTGGTTTAACGTCCCAAATCTGAAAGATTCAAAATCTATAATGCTCCAGTGAGCATTTCTTTTCAGCATCAGATTAGTACACAAAAGTGGGAGGTGGTAGGCCAAATACGTTCTTTTCCTTTTTCTCTCTCTCACCATGTTTCTAGCTTGGTGACTAGTTTTTGGTCAATTCCATACTGGCCATGCTGCACTTGTATATTTTTGAAGGTTTTGGGATGTGAGAAATAATGACTGCTATTTTCTATGTCATCAACACTTTCCACCTTTTCATGGTTGCATCTTTTCCTCAGTGTCTCTGTTGTAGCAGTCATCAATAAGAGCCTGTCAGGTCAGATTTAGGACAGATTTTTGTAATTCTGCAAAAAATGTTACTGGGATTCTGGTAGGGGTTGTGTTGAATCTGCAGCTCACTTTGAGTAATATTATCTTCCTAACAATATTGATTCTTCCAATCCGTGAAAGTGAATTTTCTTTCCATATAATGATGTCGTCTTTAATTTCTTTCAGTAATGTTTTGTAGTTTTCATGATATAACCCTTAGACCTTTTTGGTTAAACTTATTCCAAAATATTTTATTCCTTTTGATGTTAATGTGATTGGAAATTCTTTTCTTAATTTCCTTTCAGATTGTTCATTGTTACTTTATAGTCTAAAGAATGATGTAGGAGTGAAGGCGACAGGCAAAAGCTGGTGGTTTTGGAGCAGAAACATATTCCCTGTCCTGGGTTTTTGATTTTCCCTCTCCCTTTGCAGAGGGCAGGTGGCTGTTCCCTGATAGCCAGAGAGACTTCACTGGAAAACGTATTGGCAATGCTCCAGGGATCCACTTACCAGGGACTATGATCCTCTGGATTATGAGATTTGTTCCACCAGTGGCTGAGTTATGCATGAAACAGACATAGACCCCTCCATATGTTTTAGTGATTTGGGGGTTAAAGAACACTTTGTTCTTTATCTGGATTACTGGAACTTCGCATCAATCAGCCAAGAAAGCTCTGGCAGTAGGTGAGAGTCTGTGAGGCAGGATAGCTTGGGGACTTCCCCTGCATGGTAATAGGTGTATGAAGAAGAAATGGTGGGGGTATCTAGGCCATCTGGAGCAAAGAGAATAAAGTCACAGCTGATGTTGTCAGAGGGAAGGGAAAATCCTGGTCTGTGGAAAGGCCACAGTGATCCTGTGAGCCTAGTCACAACACTGAAGTCCCAGCCAAATCCCTGCTGTGTTCACTGTTCTGGAGCCTGAGACATTCACCTGTTTCTCCCATCATAAGCTGTGGACCCTGAGTCTCCTGTGACAGAAGCAGCCTCTTCTCTCCCATTGTTGATCAAGCTGAAGCCTATTCTTTGTAGTCATGGCCAGCTTTGATGTGCAGGGGTAAAGGTCTTTGTACTTGCCCCTGAGAGGGACAGGGAGGCCTGGCCTCTAGCCATATGTATTTGAGATGGCAGCCTGGCTCACAGAGGAACAGAAGATACTCACAGATGGGATTCAGGATGACTGGGTCACTGCGGCTGGAACTCACTGGGCTCTTCATTTCACATTCATAGGGTCCTGCAGTATACTGTGTGACACCAAATAGAATGAGGGTCCTGTTGTTTTCGGACAGCTGCAACCTGGGACTGATAGGGAGGCTCTGACCATTTACCCACCACAGGTAGCTTGCATTCGGAGTGTCAGGATCACAGGATAAGACCACAGTCTCCGTGGCCTCCCTGGGGTTTAAATTACTGCTGGAGATGGAGGGCTTGGGAGTCTCCACTGTGGAGAAAACAGAGAGAAGATTGCACTGTGTGGCACGTTTGATTCCTCCTAAGACATTTTTCAATCAGAGTTGGCATTTCCTACCTCTCAGCACACCCATGTCCCTAAAAGTCCATGGCAGGTATATGTGTTACAAGACAGATGCATGGCAATCTGAGGGCTCAGAGATTGTGAGGCTGCCTTCTGTATGTGGGAGAAGCACAGACTTTCCCAAATGTGAATTGAGCAGCAGCACTGGGTCATGGAAAAGCATGGGACCAGCAGTCACAGTCCCTGGTGCCTCTCTGAGTCTCTCCCTCTCCAACTGCCTGCCTGGCC